GTTCCCCTGGTGCCATCCCCAGCCCTGTACCTGACCACTCACCTGTCCTCTCACTCTTCCTCCATTCACTGAGGACTCAGCAGACCCTTGCTGCATTTCCTTTCCTCCCTCACCCCCACTGCTTTGTGTCACATGACAGTAGAGACACTCCACCTGGGAGCCTGGTGGTACAAAAAAATAATAAAATATCTTTGATCAACTCTAATCCTGTAAATGAAAAACTTGTATAATAACAATTTTAAAACACTGAAGAAGCAAATAGAAGATATGAGATAATGAAAAGACACCCCCCCCCATGTTCACGAAATGTCAGGATTAATACAGTGAAAGAAGACATCTTCCCATAATAATTGAGAGATTCAGTGCAAGCTCTGTCAATTCAAACACAATTCTTCACAGAAATAGAAAATTAAATACAAAACTTTTAGCTTTATATGGAAACACAAACAACTTAGGATAGACTAAAAAATGAATAATGAAAGAACTGCTTAATGTATCACCACTTCAGATTCCAAGTTGTGCCGCAGAGTAATAGTCAGAAAAACAGGATGGTATTTGCTTAAATAAATAGACATGCTGATCAGTAGATTAGGATCAAAGATCTAGACAGAAGTCCACACACCTATGAACATCTCATTTGATAAAGAAGCCCAAAATACTGCACACGAGAAAAAAAGACAGCATCTTCAACAGATGGCTGTGGTCAAACTGAATGGCTACATGCAAAAGAATATAAACAGAATAATTTTTACTGCCCTGTACAAAACTCAAGTCCAAATGGATCAAGGACAAGAACATCCATCCAGATACTCTGAATCTAATAAGTAGAAGTGTGGAATAATCTTGAACACATTGGCACATGAAAAGACTTTTTGAACAGGACACTAATAGCACAGTCACTGTACTGCTATACTTTCTTATTGGAACACCAGCCCTCAAATCATGATACAGAGTCTTAGTATTAATTATGAAAGCTTGGGTTAGCTTAGGCTTGTTCCTAACTAGTTCTTATAACTGAAATTAACCCATGTTTTTTAATCTATGTTCTCCCACTCTCGTCACCTCATCTCCTTACTGCCCATCCTGCTTCCTCCACCTCTGGCTGCTGACCCCACATTTCTTCTTCCAGTTCACTCTCTGCCCAGAAGTTATGCCCATGCTCTCCTGCCTAGCTACTCACTGTTCAGCTTTTTATTACACAAATCACAGCAATACATCTTCACACAGTGTACAAATATCCCAAAGCAAGTCATGAAAACAGTAATTGACAAGCAGAACTTCATGGAACTGAAAAGCTTATGTATGGGCAAAGAACATCATCATTTGAACAAAGTGGCAAGTTATTGAAAGGAAAAGTATCATTACAAAGTATACAGTTGATACAGGGCTGATATGTAAAATATATGCAAAATTAAAAAGACCAAATATCAAGAAAGGAAACAACTCAATTTAAGAAATAGGTACAGATCTAAAGAGAGTTCTCAAAAGATGAAACACAAATGACTGAGAAGCACATAAAGTTGAAAATCCTTATTTTTCAGGAAATGCATATTAAAAATACTATGAGATTTCTTCTTACACACATAGAATGGCCAAAATCAATAAAAAATGATATCATATGCTGGTGAGGATGTAGTTTAAGGGGAACACTCATCCATTGTAGCTGAGAGTGCAAACTTTAAGACTCACTATGGACATAAGTATGGTGATTCTTCAGAAAGAAGGGAATAGATCTACCTCAAGATTCAGCTGGACCACTTTTGGACATATACTCACAGGACTCTATATTGTGTTACAGAGACACTTGCTCATCGATATTAATTGTAGTATTCATAATAACAAACATTGCAAGCAGTCTAGATGTCCATCAAGAGATGGATATATAATGGAAATGTGAGACATTTCTACAATGAAATATCACTCATCTATTGAGTTATGAAATTCACAGGTAAATTTATGGACATAGAAAAAAATCATCTTGAGTGAGGTAACCCCAACTACAAACAACAAATATAGTATGTATTCTCTGACATTTGGATTCTAGCTTTTAAGCCTTCAATAGGCTTGCCACAATCTGTATACCTGCAGAAGTTAGGGATACAGTAGGAGAGAAGGAAGGATTTCCTGAATAGGAGAAAAATAGAATAGATAGTAAAGAGATGGGGTTAGAGGGTGGAATAGGAGGATTAAACAGAAAGGAGGAGGGAACAGAGAATAAGGGAGGAGGTATGGAGAGAGAAAGCACAAACTAAGCACATTCTGAGAGGTCATATAGAAACCTACTACATGAGAAGCCTATATATATATATATATATATATATATATATATATTCTTAATATAATGCACATGTATTATATAAATCAATGAAATAGCCAAATAAAAGGGAAACAAAGTACCAACCAGACATTTCCTACCAAAGTAAAAATTCCAGTGCCAAGAAAGGTGTCATCTGAATTGTTGGCCAAAGGAGACCCATGGAAATTTTCAACAACTCAGGCTATTACCAAGGCTATTGGTTGCTCTCTATGAATTGATGGTAAAGTACTATTGTTGTAGACAATATCTACAAATCTCATTGAACATGAAGAAATTGAGCTGGTTCCTAAATAAAGCATTTAGTCCTATGAACTTGTGTCCATGGTTCAGGAAGATACTCTGAATGATACCAGAGGAGAAAGGTAAACACCAACCCAGCTATAAATTCTTTGATCTACAATGGTGAACTCCATACATAATACAATGGTATGATAATGGCACAAGTGATATTGGCATGACCAATCACATTCTGAATGGGCTTAAGGCCCACTCCATGAGGTAGAATCCCTGCCTGATACTGCTTCGGTAACCAAGAACCTGAGACTAGATAGGCTATGGACCTAAGGGAAAACCAAATATCATTATCCTCCTAAACATACATAGCAAGATAATGACTTCTAACGACTTTCTGCTATACCCATAGATCAATGTTTTGTTTAGACATCATCATGGAAGCTTCTACTTGCAGTAGATGGGAACAAACCCATAGATCCACAACTCCTCAACTGGAAAATATATAGAGAATGAGAGACCTTTTCTCCATTAAACTCCTTACCTCAGGATTCTGGGAATGTTATAGAAGAAGCAGCAGAAAGTGTCTAAGAGCCAGTGGGGATGAAAGGCAGTAAGGAAATAAAGCCCTCCAGACATGAGACTGACTCACATAAGAACTCACATAAGAGATGGTGGCAACACGCAAAGTCCCACACTGGTCCTGTACAGATGGAGTCCTAGTGCTGAGAAGGGGAAGTGGACATCATCCCCCACACCTAACCAAGAACCTATCTCCAATTGAAAACTGCTCACAAGAGGAAATTTAGTTTTTACCAACAGCAGTTCACTAGGTATACAAACCACACTTTAGGGTAGGTCTCATGCCCAGCAAATGAACTGTTGTATTTTTTTGTTCTTTAGCTTAATTGTAGGTCTCTTAAAGCTTTCTGTGGGTCACTATTTAGCACATTTATCCTTGTTTATATCATTTCCAATTTTGTGGATTTTTTTTTATGTGTACATACGTCTTTGCATGTACATGATCTTCTCATGCTTTTTATTTATTTTTTTCTGTTTGTTTTATTTTGGTTTGTTTGTTTTCTTCCCTGTTTTCTAAAAAGAAAGTGTGGAGTTAGATATGTGCAGAGGTAAGAACATGCCTATAAAGGTACAAGAAGCTTAAAGAACAAATTGATTGAACCAGAAGAGAAAGTTCCCTTGACACCTAATAATCATACACTAAACACACAGAACAAGGAAAGAATATTGAAAGCACAAAGGAAAAATGCCAAGTAACATACAAAGGCAGATCAAGTAGAATTACACCCTGTCAATAATTCCTACTGCAGAGCAGTCACTTCTAATGTTACCACTTCCAGCCATGCTCACATGGATCTTATTGACAATTAGGAGTTATCATCTGAGAAGCATAAATAATCTATCTATGAAGCAGATGTACTTGCACTGGGGATGAAGCTGAATGAATCACAAGGGGTCAGTGAATTTGTGAAGCGCTAGAAAGTAAATGTTTTAGTCACTCCAGCCACTGTTGTATCCACTCAGCTGCTGTTTCAACGTGAAAACACAATGGACAGACAAACTGTGAATGAGTGAGCATGGCTGGGTTCCAGTTCCTCACAGAGACAAGGGGCAGGCCAGAGTTTTCAACTGTGGAATATAATCTGTCAACCCTCGGGAAACAGCAGTTGTATGGATCGTGTTTAATTATTGTTTAATGAATTAGTCCCCTAGTGTGTGACCTTTAGGCGGGTCCCACTTCTACTTTTGAAAGCAATGTTTTTAATGAAAGCAATGTTTTCTGCACATATATATGACATTATAGATGTATAAATATTTTGGTAGAATTAATTGCTGCACATATTATTGTGATATAAATTGCAAATGTATTTCCCTCGTTTGTCATTTATCTTTTGGCTCTGATAATTTTTATGTGAAATACTTGTGTTATATTGCATAATTGAATGCATTATTTTTTAAAATGATCAAGACATTGTAGAAATGATGTCATGATTTAGTAATAAGATTTGCTTATCTTGACTTTCTACAACTTAATCTATCAGATCTTCAAATTTAATTCTCTTATCACTTTCATATTGAAGAGATGAGCTGGAAATGTTTGTATCATACTCTCTAAACAAAGGATGGAAACAGTTGCTTTAAACTTTCAACTTTGAGAAATGATCCAAATAATTCTGGAATGTGTAAGAGAAGTTTATATTTCATGACATAAGCACAAGCATTTGATAAATAAAGTGTTAATTTTAGTCACGCTGGCTGATGTTTCTGAATATTTAAGTTTCTCCAAGTCAGTGTCATGTCAATCTGAACTTAGCCATGAATTTCTGCTGTGGTAATTTTGGGTTTCCTCACAACTTCTCTGTAATTGGTGGAGATCTGATAAAGACACAGCTGTGCAAAGCCTCCTGCAGAGTCTCCCTGTGGCAGGGCTTTAGCTGCATACACAGTTGCAGTTTGAGGCCAGCCTGCAGGCTTGCTGGGAGCACTGTGCATCACTAGCACAGAGGTAGGTGCCTGAGTCCTCCAGCTGGGCATCCCTGATGTGCAGGGTGCTGTAGCGCTCCCTGGAGTTGAATGTTGAATTTAACCTCCCATTCTCCTTTGTTCCTGGATTCAGGTAAAAAAGATCGACGAGGCTGCCCCTGGGATTCTGTCGGAACCACTGCATATATGTCACGGTGATAGAAAAATTACATCTCAGGGCAGAACTGGTTCCCTCATGGAGACTCAGGGCTGAAGGTCTCTGCTCCACCTCAAATCCTCTCACCCCTGTTGGGAAACAAAAGCAAACCAGAATCAGTGAGAAGTTTTCACCCACACCTGTCTAATACTCCAGGAGACACCATGAGGTGACTGCACAGGAGCTTTGGGTTGGTTCATCCCCTCCACCACTGACATTTCTGGAGAATCCCTAAAGCAGCTTAGGTGAGCACAACTCACAGCAAATCTGCACCCACAGAATCCCCAGCACAGCTCCCAGGTTCCTCTCCATGGCCCCTTTCCAATTGCTGGGGTGTCTTCTCTCCAGCTCTCAGGGGTGGTGTCAATTCTTGTGCCCAGACACACTTGTGCTTACACACAAAAGTTCCTCTCCAAGTTGCTGAATGTTCTCTTTCATCTGAACAAGAAACTCCACCCACCTTCACCTCACCACTCTGCATAATAACTGCTCCACAACTATGGAGAACAATATGCAGATCCCACAACACTATATTTCTAAGGTAACATTCCATATGAGGGGAGTTTGGGGAAATGTGTGAGGGAGGGGAATTCATAAATGCAGAATACTGGTGTGAACATTGATTGTTCCAGGGGGTTAGAAGAGCTTTGCAAAATCCTAGCAAGATTTGTTTGACTTTTTTTGTAAAAGAATTACATACAATATATTCTAATCACGGTTTCCCATCTCCAAACTCCTCCTAGATCTTTTCTATCTCCTCACCCTCCTGACAACATGCCCTTTAGTTCTCATTTGCTCCCTCTCTGTCTCTCTCTCTTTCTCCCTCTCCCTCCCTCCCTCTCTCTCTTCCTCTTTCCCCCTCTCTCTTCTTCTCTTCCTCTTTCTCTCTCTCTCTCTCTCTCTCTCTCTCTCTCTCTCTCTCTCTCTCGTCTCTCTCTCTCAAACAGGCAAACAAGCACATCAAAATTAAAACATAATAACATCAAGAAACACACAACCAAACCCATAAAATACAATACAAGTAAATATAAAATACAGACAAAAGACCAATAAAACCAAAAAGGAAAGAGAAAAACCAAACTAAGCAGTATGATACAAATGAACCATTGGGTTCCTTCTCAGTCTGTACTGGCCAACAACTACTGGGCTTGGGATCACCCTTCAATATAGCTGATATACTGAATGAGAAAGTCCTGCACCTTAAGTCACACAGTGGGACAAATCAGCATGCAGTACACTATAAGGGGTAAGAATTTCTTGAAATTGTCAGATCATCATGTGCGTACAAAATGTTCCCAAGGACAGTTTTATTGATCATAAGAAAAACAAGACATGCCCGTGTTTTCACCATGATTTACTTTCCATTTTCTCACATGTGCCCTGCTCTTTCCCACAGCTGTTCAGGAAAACACAGCTGATTCCAACCAGGCTGTGAATGCCTGCTTAAGATCAGAGAGCCCCCCTATCTTCTACTTTTTCATACCTTGCATTTCCCAGTTTTCTTCTTAAGTAGTTATTCTTTTTCTTTCTAGTTTAGAGGATAGATAGATAGATAGATAGATAGATAGATAGATAGATAGATAGACAGATATCACATGTATGTTATATACAATATAAAGGGTATTAAAATAATTTCTAGGTTTTTAATTTTGAGAAATTTTTAAAATAAAACTAGAAGCAACGAATGCAATGGAGATGTTTTTTTCTCTTCAGTGTCTATCCTCATAATGCCCAGTGAGATTCTATTTTACTTACATCTGTTCAGAGAATTGTTCTTAAAATAGATTTGTCGCTGCATGGGATCCAGTGAGTGAGTAGGCTCTAGATATTTGTAGTTTTGTATACAATGATTGAGAGCTAAAGATCCGGTGAACTCCACACTGTCACCCCATTTCCCTGTTTGTGGGTTGTTGCCTCATGCCTCTTCTGAGCTCTTCAAATCTCTAGGCAATTTAAGAAAAAGTAATTTCTAGGAATCCTGCAGTGCCCCCTAGTGGACTGACACCACCACCAAAAGTGACTTCAGGCCATCTCCACAAGTCTCAATAAACCAGCCTTTTCACTCCATCACTTCCTGGTGAAGGAAATGCAGATGGTAAGAACACAAGAGTGTCTAGATGGAGTTCTCAGAAGAAATAAAAATGGCCAAGAAATATCTCAAAATTCTTCATCATCATTAGAAATTAGGGAAATGCAAAATAAAATATCTCTGAGATTTTATCTCACCCCAGTTAGAGTATCTAAAAATCAATTAAACAACTGACTACAAGTGCTGGTGAGGGTGGGTGGAGGAAAAGGAACCTGCATTCACTGTTGGTGGAATGAAACTTGGTACAGTTACTCTGGAAATAGGCATGGAGAATCTTTAATAAAAACTAAAGATAAATCTACCACATAACCCAGTTATGCCACTTCTTGGTTTATGTCTAAAGAACTCTACATCTTACTCCACAGATAGTTGCTTTGCTATATTTATTGCTGCTCTACTCACAGTAATTAGGAAATGGAAACAACTTAAATGTCCTTCAAGTAATGAATGGATAGTAAAAATGTGGCACCTATATGTTATGGAATATTCTTCAATGTAAAGAAAAAAAGCATCATAAACTTTTCAGGTAGGTGGGTGGAACTAGAAAATATTATTTAAAATAAGTTGAGAGAGAACAAGAAAAACAAATGTCACATGTTCTGCCACTGAACACCTAACTCCAATGGGAAATGGAGAGGCACCTAACTCCAAATCTTCAGATGGAAATATATAACCTGGAGTAACCACAGAAGCCAGAAAGATCTAAAGGGGAACATGTAGTTGGGGAGAAGCGCTAGAAATGGGAATAGCATGGTAAGCATAATTTGGGCATAGAGGTTCAGAACTGAGATGTCATCTTTGTGGATTTTTCCTTTGATGAGTATGAAGTGTCCTTCCCCATCTCTTTTGATTAATTTTGGTTGGAAATCTATTTTGTTAAATATTAGGATGCAATACTAACTTGCTTCATGTGTTGATTTGCCTGGAAAATCTTTTTGAAGCCCTTTAATTTGAGTTAATGTGTTCTTTAGTCTCAGGGGGTAAATTCTATAGCTCCTTTCTTCTCTCCTTAACTCCAGAACCATGTGGCCAAAAGTGCCAGGTTCTGCTGATTGGTGGGACTGGAACATGGCCCCCTCATTCAATTACATCTTCACCAGCTTTCTCTCTTTCACTGCCTAAGCTTGGATGTCCTGAACTAGCTTTGTAGACAAGACTGGCCTCAATCCCAGAGATCTGTCAGCCTCTACCTTCCCAGTGCTGGGATTAAAGGCATGCAGCATCACACCCCACTCTAAGCTTTTGTTTAATTCCTTTTCACAAGTTGGAAATTTAGCTGGATGATATCTTGCTCTGAGGTCACCACTCCCTTTATTCTATTTCTTAATTAGTTTGTCTCCTTGAATACAGGACTTGTTCCATTCCATTTTCTGTTATTTTTTTCTCCTCAAATATTTTTCCTTGCTCAGCTTGCTCTTTTTCATTATAAATCTTCATTTGAGATACCACCAAGAACTACACAACAGAGTCTATGCTAGGCTGTTTTGAGAGTTCCTCTGCCAATAGGGATAGTCCCCCAGGCAGACTCTGGACAAAAGCAAAAAGCAGCCACATTCTTCACCAAAATATCACAAGAATACTCTGTAGGCAACACACTAAAATTCTCCTCTGAAACCACTTGAGCCAGTCTCCAGCAGTTCCAATAACTCTTAGTGCCACTGCTTCCATGCTCCTACTAGTATGGCTCATTCAGCAATGCTTAAAGCATTCCACTTTTTCTAATGTATAGTCCTACGGTTCTATTCCTTCAGACAAAAGTATGGTCAGGACTATCACAGCAATACCCCAGTCACTGGTACCAACTCCTGTCTTAATTAGAGTTTCTATAGCTGTGAAAAAAAAAACATCATGACCATGGCAACTCTTATAAAGAAAAAACATTTAATTGTGGTGGCTTGCTTAGAGTTCCAGTAATTCAGTCCATTATCATCATGGTGGAGATCATGGTAGTGTGCAGGTAGACATGGTGATGGCTATGTCCTGATCAGAAAGCAATAGCAAGTAGACAGTCTCACTGGGTATGGCTTGAGCATATATGGACCCTCCAAGCCTGCCTCCACACTTCTTCCAACATGAACATATCTACAGGCCGGGCGGTGGTGGCGCACGCCTTTAATCCCAGCACTCGGGAGGCAGAGGCAGGCTGATCTCTGTGAGTTCGAGGCCAGCCTGGGCTACCAAGTGAGTTCCAGGAAAGGTGCAAAACTACACAGAGAAACCCTGTCTCGAAAAACCAAAAAAAAAAAAAAAAAAAAAAAAAAAAAAAAAAAAGAACATATCTACAAACATTCCATACCAGCAAACCCATACTTCCTAATAGTGCCACTCTCTTTGGGGACCATTTTCTTTCAAACCACCACATCCAGATTTTCCATTTCCAGTATTCCCTTGGTTTGTGTCCTCTTTATTGCTTCTACTTCCATGTCCAGTTCTTGAACAGTTTTATTCATTCCCTTGACATGTTTGTTTGTGTTTTCCTGGATTTCTTTAGGAGATTTATTAATTTCTTCTTTAAGAACCTCAATCAACTTCATTAGATTGGATTTAAGGTCATTTCCTTATGTTTCAGAATAGCCAAGCCTTACCATAGTAGGATAGCTGGGCTCTGGTAGTGCCATAGAGTAATTTGTGTTTGGAATTATCATACATTTACATTTAATCTGTGAGTGTATCTTTGTTGGATGGATACTTTTTGATGTTTTCTCACTTAGTTTCTGTTTCCCCTCTGGTTTCCCATCCTGAGTTGCCTGTGGTTCTGGTGACCAGTTAGTTTCCTAACTGCTGGCCACCCTGCCCAGCTTTTTATGTGTGTGCTGGAAATCAAACTCAGTCTAGTAGGATGTCTCTGCAGGAGATTTGGTAGCTTGTATGGCCTCTGGGGGTCTGGGTACCAGCTTGTTCTGTGGGATTCCTAGTACTGATGTGGCCTCCAGCAGAGTAGGAATCTTCTGCTAGAGTTGTGAGCCAAGATATGAAGCTCAGAGGACGGGTGCTATTGGAGATGACTGAGTAGGTTTTTAAGGACTGTTAGCAGGCAGTGGATGGTGTTTCACCTGGAATTCCTAGTACTGGTGTGGTCTCCAGCAGAGCAGCAGTATTCTGGAGGGGTGTGTGGTACCTTTTTAGGAGACAATGAAGTGAGGGGAAAAAAAGGGGGAAATTAAGTAATGTTTTAATTTCAAAAAAAAATTTTTTAAGAAGCAAAAAGTGGTACAAGACACCC